TGTATGTTCTAAACGAAAGCAAATACACATGTCCTGATTCGTACTTATTTTACCGAATTCAAGAGTAATCATAAAAAAAAAAAAATCAAGGAGTATGAACTTGTTTTATCAGCATTATCAAAAAGTATGATATTCTAGTGGTATTCATCTGCATGTATGAATTGAAAAAAAATATATCAATCTAAAATCCATAGTAAAAATACTTTGATTTACTATAGTAAAAAAAAATTTTGATAGTATAGTAAACTATAGTTAACTATGTTAAACTATAGTTAACTATTATTTACTACAGTTAACTTCAGATATTTTTGAGGGTCACGTCAATCCATGGCTGACAAAAAATAAATTCTTTTTCCCTTTTTCTTAATTTTGGCATTGCATTGTCAGCCAATGTGTTTGCTGACTAGATGAACTACCCATTTTCGAGCCGTCTCTTTTCACAGGAGATCCATTGAGGTTCCTGGAATGGGAGGCTGCCTTTTATGCATTTATAGAAAAAAAGGCTTTTACCTGAACAAGTATGTGGCAGGAGATGCACTGCCGGCTATTGATGGTTTTTTTCTACAGTGGCAGCAGTTCTGCATACAAGATTATCCTGAGAACCGATATGCACACACCTTTGTAATTCAGAAGACATTTTGGAATAGGCTGGACCCTAACAAATATAAATACTATCGTTAGCTATAGTTTACTATAGTTAACTATAGTATCAAAGGTTTTTTTTACTGTAGTAAATCAAAATATTTTTACTTTGGATTTCAGATTGATACATTGTCTGTTCTTCAATACATACAAGCAAATTTTTTTATATTAAATGGAAGTAATATTTGTATATTCTAAATTTTTCATATCTGTCATCGCATTTAAGAGATTTTAAGCTTTGAAATCTTAAAAGATTTCCAGAGTAAACACAAGATGAAACACTTCCTTTAAACTTGGCTTAATGGTGGCTTATAGGTCCTTAATTATGGCTTAATGGTTGTCTTTAAGTCACCATTAATCACCATAAGCTATCTTTAAGTATTAAATACACCACCATTAAGTTACCATTAAGCTATTTCAAAGTCCTTAATGGGTGCTTAAAGGTAGCTTAATGGTGGCTTAAAGGTGCTAAATGGTAGCTTTTAGACAATCTTTAAGTCACCATTAAGTCAAACTTATAGGTGCTTAATGTTCAAACTCCATTAAGCTACCATTAAACCTCCTTTAAGCCATCATTAAGTCACCATTACGCGGTCGATAAAACTGCTTTTATGAGTAAAATATTATTTTTATAATGATTTATTCTCTCATATTATAAATGTCGAGTTTACACATTTGTTAATTTGGAAAAAATAATGTAAAAGAAAGAAAAGTTGAAAAAAAAATAAAATTAAAAAAAAACAAGTTCCAGTCGGTATCCGATCCCACGACCTCTGGTTTGTTGGGCGAACACGTTTTTTTTTTCTCTTTTATTTGGGCGAACACGTTAACCACTAGGCTATCGGTTCCGTTCAAATATGATAGAAATATAAAACCTATTCTTTTTTAACAAGATTTGTGTGGACTGGAACGTGCATTTTTTAATGTTTATATTTATATCTTTATAATCAATAATATAAATAATTATATTTATATATGTAAAAAAAAAAACAAAACAACCTTTTCTGATACGTTCATATGTCCTACCGTTAAAAAAAAAACTTTTTGATTAATGTTATGATTTTCTCACTCTGTTATTCACAGTTTTATTACTAGTAGCATGAAAAGATTGAAATTTAACAGATATAACACAAATTTGTTATTAAAGAGGAATGTATCTTCGAAAGGGAACGATGGGAAAACAGATTATAGTTCTTTTAAATACATGTATGCTGCGGATAATTACGGATTTTTGTATCTAAATAATTGACAATCTTTGTGTAACACGGACGTTTATAAAATATTTTTTAACATATCATCTTCAGTTTTAATTCTTTTTATTTCACAATGGGTATCAAAATAATTGTCTTTTTGCCTAGAATCATAATTTTTAATTTGTTATATAGGCCAACACTTGCCAGTAGAGGGCTACAAATTTAGACCTGTACTCTGCATTACGGCCTTTGAGCAGTGAGGTATCTTTTTCGTGCCAGCACCTACTGCTGCGAAACGGGACCTCAGTTTATATGGTCTCCTCCGAAGGACCGGTCTCCACGCCACACAGTGGATTCAAACTTGCGACGTAAAGATCAACTCTTGAGCAAACGCTCTAACCACTGTGCCACGCGGGCGACGATTGTGTTTTGGTGCATAAGGTCAGTTTGTAATTATTAATTCTTTGAACGATAACTGAACCTAAAACTTGAAAGAGCGAGACAATATGTCCACTTAAAAATACTGCAAACCAATTTTAATTTACTTTAGGAAATATTCACATTTTTTAGACCTTCTCTTTTGTGAATGATTGTCGCCGCAAAACCAACTACAGTGAAAACCGTCTAATCCGAAAACTGTGCAATCCGTTTCACTGTCAATTCCTTGTTGAAGTTCCCCTTTTCCTGTTTTCTATGTTCCTTTACACTGCACAATCCATCACCCAGTTTATTCCGACACAAATTTTGTTTCCCAGTGCATGTCGGATTGGACAGGATTCACTGTATTTATTTGTATATTTGTGAAGAATGGTTCCTTAATCGGAAAATTAACTGTCCCGGGTGGCATTCAGACTGAAAAATCGCGAATAAAAGTTGCTGTGAAAAATACTTGATTTCAATTAATATATTACTTCAGTAAACCACAATTTGTTACATATGATGCACTCTGATCAGGCGGAAAGAGGCACACAGTGCTAAGCTGAAGTTTGATGAATACTTGTAATAAGAAAAACAACAGGCCAATGACCACAACGCTTACTTGAATCACCTTGGCGCAGCATTTTCTTTTATATATTCTTTTTTCCGTGTGATGGACAAAATATAGACATAAAGAGTTATGATTTATCCAAAATTAAATCAACATAATATTTGGATGCTTCAACATCTATTCGATAAATTTAGGTCAAGCTCAAAGGTAAAGGTCATGAGGTCAAAACTCTTGGCACCCAAAGAATGTTCTTGTCACAGACAATTGACATATATAATATGAAAGCCTTAGCACCAACCATTCAGAAATTATAGACGATATTAAAATGGTGAAAAAAGATCAAATCCAAAGTACTGTTTGTGGGTTTTTGCGATCGGTCATTGTCCGTTATCTTCAATTATTTTCATTATGTATCTAGGTCCATTTAACGGTTTCTGTTTCAGTTTGAAGCATACAAAGTAAAGAGAATAGAACAAAGGCATGTCCTTGACCTTTATCTTTGACATTAACACATAGGTCAATGGTTGTTCCCAGATAAAGGGCATGTCATAAAAAATACTCATGTGAAATATGAAAGCCCTTTCACCAACCATTCAAATGTAATGGACAAGGTTAAAGGTAACTGAAAAATAGCCAGACAGATCAGAAACTATATGACCCCGAATCTTCGATTACGGGGGCATAAAAAGATATAATTGAAAAATAGAATTGCTGTATTGATATAAATATAAGGTTTTGTTGCATACATGTAGCTGTCAGAAACTGTCTTAAAATGTCAAAAACGTCGTTCACAAATGTTTGAAATATATAGTTGAACTCGATTTATTGCAAACTGTTATGCATTTTTTGATATACAAGTCCTTTATATTGACCTGACTCAAATGGTTATTATACAGTTATTGACTGGGTATGAGGGCAACATATGATTTGTTGGACATGAAGGTGAAAATGTACTTGTGACGTAGCAGTGACGTTGAGGTCTAACAATTCTTATGTTGGATTGACAGACCGGTCAACAATGAAAATGCTAGACCGATGAAAAGAACATTTACTTTGTTAGACTTTTTATTTGTAATAAATATATAAAAAGATATGTATAAGGGTATAACAATCTATAATATGTCTCCTATTTTCAGTTCTTTTTCCTAATACCATAATCTTAGTCTTTTATATTTGTAGTTATAAATTGTTCTAAAGTTTTGAACACCGTGAACGACATGTTTGCAAATGACAGCCTGTTAGTGTCTATCTTCTTGTTGATTTTATGTTTCATAGGACTTTCAACAAACATTGTCGTTGTGTTTGTGTACATGTTCCGAATGCCAAAGTGGAAAGAGTCCAGCCGTTTTTATGTTCCATTTTTTGGCAATAAGCGATGCTATAGTTTGTATAGCTGGACCTGTCTCTCGGGTGTATCTTAACTTTAACTTTGTTGGGCGGAAATCGGACATAATTTGCAGAAGCAATTTTTATTTCATTACCGTGTTTGTTATGATTTCATCTAAGATTTTGCTTTTAATAACTATGACCGTTTTCTCTTCGTTTATTACAGTGGTTTAAAACCATTTAACTTGCAACGAAAACAACTTGCTTTGATAGCTATCATAGTAATTGCGTTCGTGTCACAAACTCCTGTATGGGTGAATTTTGGTGAGCTGGGAATTAAAGCCGCTACAAATCAAATAAACAACATAGGCAACATAACTCTGTACCAGTGTAGCGAGATTCAGGGTGAGGGATATAAGAAATCGGCGATAGCAGTGACCACTTTTCGCATTGTGTTAATATTCAGTCAGGTGATCGTCATGATAGTGCTGTATTCCTTAATTACTCGCGTTATATTCAAAGGCTTATATAAGCCACATGTCTGCTGAGTAATTTTAATGAGTAAACCAAAATATCAAATCTCAATGGAACTGTCAGAATCAATAAAGCTTGGAGGCCGTTGTATAAACAAATAAAGAGTGAGGGTTAAACTCATACCGTGGGAATCAAGATATAAAAAAAAAACGAATGAAATATAAGAATATTATATCCCTCCTCATCTTAGACAAAAAATTATTTTCCGTATTTTTTTTTACTCTAATTGTTTTAACATTCTGTTCAATATACAATAACATAGACATGGTGAATAAAAATATCCTTTATATGGCATGCTAAAAGTCATAGATCTAATTCTAATCAGTAATATAGTCCTTTAAGTATTCTGGCGGTTTACGTTCGCGTTTAGGTCTTTCGTTCGGCGTTTCATCTGACGTTTCTTGTGGACTAATATTGCACATGTCATCTTCATCGAATTCGGGCTCAATTTTCTTTACAGCACTCGTGTTTCGTTTAATTATTTTTCCCATCCTCATTTTCCAGTGTAACAGCATTTTCACATTTGTCTTTGACAGTTTTTCGGGTACGAATTTAGTCGTCAATTTAGATTTTTCCTGCTGTTTCTGAAGTACAATATCGCCAATTTGAATGTCAGATTTCACTGCATTTCGACTGTCATCGGCATATCTTTTGTATTTCTGTTTTCTCTCCTGATCACGTTTCCTGACGTCTTTGATGTTTGTCCTTGCGGGAAACTCTGGTAATTTTGTGCGTACCTTGTTATTGAAAAGCAGTTCTGCTGGGCTCTTTCCTGTTGTTGCATGTGGGGTTGAACGATAGGCAAGCAAGAAATTTGGCAATTCCCTTTTCCAGTCTTTTCCTTCTGCATTTGTCGCTTTGATGGCTTTTAGCAAAGTACGATTTTGTCTTTCGACTTCTCCGTTTCCTTGCGGTCAATACGGAGTTGTCCTTATTTGCTTGATTCCATTATTCTTGAGATAATCTTTGAACTCTTCGGATACGAACTGAGGACCATTTTCACTCCGAATGCTTTGAGGTATACCGTGTCTGGCAAACATTGCTTCCAAATGTGTGATAATTCTATCGCTAGTCGTTTTCTTCATAATGGCCACTTCTTGGTATCTCGAGTAATAATCTATCACTACAAGTAGATTCTCTCCTGAGGGAAACATTAAATCAATGGCTAAGTCTTGCCACGGTCCGTCCGGCATAAATGTCGGCTTTATCGGTTCTGGTTTACACGTGTTTGTTAACAACTGACATTGGTTGAACGCTTTAACAAACTTTTCAACTTCCATGTCCATACCCGGCCACCATACTTTTTCTCGTAGTCGTTGCTTTGTACGTACAATTCCTTGGTGTCCTTCGTGCGCAAGAGAAACCATATCCTTTCTGATGGATTTCGGCATCAATATTCGAGTTCCTCGTAGCACGATACCATCAACGACTGAAAATTCTGACTGTATTCTATGTAATTCAGTCGGGAAATCTTCACCTGTCTTGATTTTCTGTATCATACCCTTTATCTCATGATCCTCTGAAGATCGCTTGCGAATCTCGTCAATTGTTAGGGCTTTAGGTACTGCATTCCTCGCAATGAAATAAGCATATTTATCTGCAATGCGTCTCAATTTTTCTTTTGAATTCTGACCGAGTCATGACAAGGCGTCGGCGGCGTTCTTAGGCCCTGGCGTGTAGACCATCTTAAACGTATATGGCTGGAGTCGAAGTGTCCAGCGCTCAATCCTCACCGGTGGTTTCGATTTCGGCGAGAAAATATACGTCAGCGGTTTGTGATCTGTCCAAATCTCAAAACTGAGTCCATAATCGTACATGTGAAATTCTCACACCCAAAAACTACTAATGCTTCTCGCTCAGTTTGTAAATAGCGTTTTTCAACGTCTGTAAGGGATCGGCTCGCATAAGCAACAGGTTTGAAAGATCCGTCCCTCTGCTTTTGTGACATTATGGCGCCTAGCCCTAAGGGACTCGCATCAACCATTATTCTTGTATCCGACTTCGGGTTGTAATAGGCAAGTGTCTCTGCACTGACAAGTGCACGTTTCAAATCATTGAACGCATCTTGGTGCCGTTTTGTCCACCTCCAGGTTGCGTTCTTTCTAGTCAACTCACGCAGCGGCGCAGCAATTGTCAAGAAATTCTTAAAAAGTCGGCCACAATAATTCGCCAATCCCAGGAAACTTCGCATTTCTGAGCTATTTGTAAGTTTGCGTGTTTCTGACACTGCTTTAACCTTTTCTTCGTCCGGTCGAATTCCCTTCGACGATATCACATGTCCAAGAAAAACTATTCTCAATAAACCAAACTTACACTTTTCTCGGTTCAAAGTCAGATCCTTCTCCATCAGTCTTTCGAGCACCTTTGCTAGTTTTCCATCATGATCTGCTTGGTCGGTACCATAAACAACAATGTCGTCTGACAGATTACGCACTCCGTCCAGACCCTGAATCACTTGACCTATAATTCGCTGATATATTTCAGATGCAGATGATATACCGAACATCAGGCGTTTGTAATGGTATAAACCCTCATGTGTTGTAAACGTAGTTATTTCCCTTGACTCTTCATCAAGTTCAATTTGATGATAGCCCCAGCGTAGATTGAGTTTGGAAAATACACTACTTCCATTCATATCTTCTAACATTTCGTCAACTGTTGGTATCGGATGGCGCTCCCGTCTCACAGCTGTATTTGCGCGGCGCATATCAACACAAATTCTAATGTCGCCATTTTCCTTTGGGACGACAACCAGAGATGAAACCCATGCTGAAGGTTTGTTGACTTTTTCAATGATGTCAGTTTCTTCCATTTCGATCAGCTTCTTACGAACGCTTTTTCGGACATTGAACGGCAGTCGTCTCAGAGGCTGCGCTATCGGCGTTACGGTATCGTCCACATGTAAATTCAACTGAAAATCCTTCAGTTTTCCAATACCGTCAAACACCATCTTTCTTTGTGATAAGACTTTGTCGATTCCGCTTAAAACAGAATAAGCACTCGGATCCTCGCAACCCAGGCGCAAAACTCCTATTGCGATTGCAGTTTCCTTACCAAGTAGTGAGATGTTATCGCCGTTTACGACAATAAAATCAGCATCCATTTTGTGTTTCCCATTCTTCAACAAAGTACGGAATGACCCTTCAATTTTCAACGGCTTATCTGACCCATAAGCGTATAGATTTCTTGAATATTTGGACAAAACAATGTTTTTGTTTCTGTCGCAAACTGCATTCCACACACTTCGGCTGACCACGTTGCAGCTCGCGCCGGAGTCAATTAGCATTGACACCGATGCTCCGCCTACACTCACATCTATCGTTTCACTAACATCCTTCCTGTTTATTGTAAACACATAGTCATCATCTGACGAAGAATTGTCATTAACCAAACGAACATGTTTTGCACTTTTATTTTTATCTTGTTTTACGATTCCGGACTTACACATTTTGGCAAAGTGTCCGACTTTTCCACATTTGTTGCATGTTTTATCTTTGGTTATTGTGCATTCCTTTGCAATGTGCCCTTTACGGCCACTGTTCTATGTTTGGGTTTAGCAACTTTCTTACTGAAAGGTCTCACTACGTTAATTCCTGGTGATGAAGCTGTGTCACTTTTAAATTTGTCGGCTTGTTCATCAACAATTTCAGACGCGCGTGCGATATCTAATAGGTTTTTAAGAGTAAGTTTTTTTTCTTTTAACAGACGTTTCCTTAATTTTGATGACTTACACTTCTCCAGTACCTGATCTCTGATGTTGTCGTCTGTATTTTCAAATTCACAGGTCAACGCTAACTTGCGCAGTCTTGTTACAAATCCGTCTATTTTCTCCGTCTCTCCTTGAGATGTAGTTCGGAAAACGTGTCTTTCAAACGCCACATTCCTTTTAGGTTGGAAGTACACATCAAGTTTTTTTCCTTGCTCCGTCAAGGTCGTCTCCGGTATTTTCCAGTGTAGTGAATATTTCCTGCACGTCTGCTCCCATGGAATGCAAAAATAACGCACGTTTTTGCTCTTTTTCAGTAATTCCTGAGGCTGTCAGATAAAAGTCGAATGTCTTTTTCCATTTGTCCCATCTTTGTGACACACTTGTCTGGTCACCTTGAATGTCAAATGGTCCAATCGGAGGTAGCTGAAACGCTTTAGCCATCTCTGTACGTTTCCTATTCTTCCTCTTTTTAGGCATTAACAGAACGACACGAAATCAAAATTCGTAATCCTTGTCGCCAATGTAATGCCCTGTCCCTAATACTACAGGTAACAGTGTGTTATAATATAATGCGTGCTCTGAGCACAGGAATAAGAAAACACGTCTGTCCAGTTCTAACTTTTAATCTACAACTACATAACTAAATACATTATATATAAGCCACATGTCTGCTGAGTAATTTTAACGAGTAAACCAAAATATCAAATCTCAATGGAACTGTCAGAATCAATTAAGCTTGGAGGTCGTTGTATAAACAAATAAAGAGTGAGGGTTAAACTCATACCGTGGGAATCAAGATATAAAAAAAACTGAATGAAATATAAGAATATTACATATGTAGTATTATATGGGGTCATGATTGTGTTCAGCACCACATGTGTTAAAATTACTATAGTTACATGTTTATGAATGACCCCCTGTTTTGTATATATGTTTTTGTCACTTACAAAATAAATGACATTATTCATTCTAATACATGTGTTCTCATTTCGCCTGCTTTGAGCAAAAAACGAGCTCAGTCTCCTTGGCAAGGTTATACAAACTAAGGAACATAAATAAGTAATTATTGTAAATAATAACTTTTATGTGACATGTGCAGTGTTTATATTTGTTTCACTGACTTTACCCTATTCCTTACTTAGATTATATAAACTTCTTGTGGCCTATGTTTAACCTGACTCTTAACTTGCGCATTTTAGCCAATCATAAGCAGTCAATTTGTCACGTGTCATTTATTGATCTGTTTATTTTAGACGAGAAGCCACGCTTTTTCTGTGCAGTGAAATATGTACCCACCGTCCACCCCTTCTACCTCCAAAGATATCAGTTTTTGGCTACCCACCTTTTGTAAGGGCAGGCAGTTTATTGATGCTATTATTTTTTACATATGTGTTTACAGTAGGGGGTCTGTCATGTATTTTTTGTACATGTGTTGCATAATATCTCTAGTCCTTTGGCTCCCTATCTGTTGTTATGTGTAGATATTTATTTTCATATATAGTATTATAGGGGGACATGAATGTGTTCAGCAACACATGTGTTATAATTACTATAGTTACATGTTTATGAATGACCCCCTGTTTTGTATATATGTTTTCGTCACTTACAAAATAAATGACATTATTCATTCTAATACATGTGTTCTCATTTCGCCTGCTTTGAGCAAAAAACGAGCTCAGTCTCCTTGGCAAGGTTATACAAACTAAGGAACATAAATTTCATTATTGATTCTAAGGGTTCTCATTTTAATGAATATTCAATGTTGAAATCTATGCGGAATTGTTTTATCTTGTAATATATGCCAGTGGTTTAAAGTAATCTAAATACCTTGGTTGACCTATTGTGTCGTGAACATTTAAACTTTTTCAGCTTCTCCTCTGAAACAGCTGAAAAATTTCAATAACATCTATAAGTAAAGGGCACAGAAACATTCATGATTCTTGCCTCCCTCACTTTGGGGTGTGATCAAAACCATTAAAAGTAATGGATTCTTCCAAAAACTTTTTTACTGCTGCGCAAGCATCAAACCGTAGGAACGGCTATTCTACGCAATCAACTTTTTACCAAATCTGTGAATTTATAAATCCTGGATGTCCAGGATTCAAGTATGATAGTGGAGTAAAGCTGGTAGAATATTGAATATGCTTTATATCAAAGAACATTTCTCCTTTACTACTTGCCATAAGGAAGAAAAAAAACGTTTTCTTAATTAAAATAAGATACAAAATCTCTTCCAAAATTTAGAAGAAATCCCCTCCTTACCTCTTGTACCAGGGTTTCAGTCCCAGGCATGGCTAATAGATCAGATTTTGAAATGAAATATGTGGAGATAACGAACAGCATTGGGGCTCAAAAGTCTATTAAACGTTACAAAATAGGAACAGAGCAAACACGAATCTCTAAGACATCAGAGGTGGGATCAGGTGCCATGGAGGAGTGAGCATCCCCTGCCGACTGGTCACATCCGCCATGTGCTCCTTGTCATGATCGGGAAATAACGGAAAAATTCGTCGACAATTCAGTGTGTAAATAATGGACTAATAATTAGTAAGAAAAACAGTCAGTCAGTATTTGACTTAAAGAAAGATTATATTTGCTGAAAATGTCATTGTATCGACCTAGGACCTACGAAATGACGACTTTAAACGAGACTGCTGATATTCTTGTTTCATCAACTTGTTTGTTAATAACATACCTCGTTTAAGAAATTGTTCATACTTAGAGCATGCTCTGGCTTATCGAATCAACTGAGAGATATAAACCCCGTATGCAAGTAATATGGGTATATTGCTGCATAAATAAGGGAAGCTGACGATTGAAAAGTTAAAGTCATCACGTTTATAATAAAGCTTTGTTGTTAGATTACCATAAACTTTTTTTCTAGTAAAATATCCAAATATGAAACAGATGTTTCAGACTCTGTGGTATCTTTTATCTCAAGCTCACCAGGATATATCGTATCGACATAAGAATGGAAACATTAACCTTTCAAACCCTCTTCCTAACTCCTGGACTCTTACATGGTAAAATGTATTTGCAATATTAAAAGACAGTCATTGTCCTTTTATTAAAATTGTAAAAATTAAGATTTCTTTTGGTCATAGTTGAAGCCAGAGATAAGGGGTTTAATGGCCCGACAATGAGAAAGAATTATACTAATGAAAATATATAAATTCAGGAATATCTGGCAAGGACATTCTTCTCATGAGATAAATGCGTGCCCAACCCTTTACCAAGATTATAAAATTCATGGCCACTGTGTAGATCTCTAGTTCACACTCAGTGTTGGATTAAGTTGGTTATATTTTCAAAAGAAATTTCTTTGCATTAAGCAAAACTCTAGCATACAAGTTGTTTGCAAGGTTATACCCCGGTATATACACTTAGCTATTAGACAAATGCTATATTTTTCTTAATAAAGTCCCCACTGGAAAATGTGTACGAAAATATTTCAATATAGACCATGATTTAGTAAATATATAAAAGTCAAAACAATGCAGGCTATTCTACGAACTTTATATGTGTAAATACTTTGTATATGTAACCGCACGGCCAGTTGGAAGTAACGCTAATTTCATGATTTAACGTCAAAAATATGGATTTTGAATTTTTATCACATGTTCATGAACACGTGCTACATTTTCCTAATTATGCCACACTATCAAGTGTGTGCAATAATATTTATGTATAGACCATAATTGATTTGATTTTTAAAATTGAAAACTAAGCATGATACTCAATGTAATCACTTCGTATACACAGGCTGCACAGCCAAGTCCGACGTTGTGCTAGATTTGTAACAGCGTCATGAATAGGGGATATCCTATTTTCATTAAAAAAAAACAGTGGTTTTCCACTTCTTGTAGTGACTCCAAAATCGTACACACCTTTGAAAAATACACTAATTTCAAATCAATAAACTAAATATATTCCAATAATTTCAAGTCCTTGAATAAATATTTTGACTCTGACGTCGTTTCAAACATATTTAAACATAATTTTATGACTGGACGCTGTTCCGTTCGGATGGCCAACGTCGCTGTTTCTGTCAATTTTTGAAACATTTCTTGCGGTTTTTACGTACTATTTTCACTATCTGTACATTAAGCGATACTAAAAATATCAGCTGACGATAGTCGCTTTATTTGTTTAATAAGCTTTGACTTGTTTTATAGAGAAGAATTCATTTTAATCAACACATTATTTTAAAAGTTCATGGCATTTTTAACTCTGGGCCATGCGTACCGGTTTATTCCCACTTAGCCAACATTTTGAAAATTCCTATTCCCACATAGCCAACATTTTGATTTTTACACCTGAGTGATCAATAGGCTATAGTCTGCTTTCAGGTATATGTGATTTACCTGAGAATTACTACCTTTGAAAAAAAAGTGTAAAAATAAATTCAAATGAAAACTTCAGTCAAAACATAAAAAGAAAATTTAAATTTAAAAAAAAATGAAGTTCTAGAAAAAAAAAAAAGAAAAAAGTGTAAAAAATAAATTCAAATGAAAACTTCAGTCAAAACATAAAAATAAAATTTAAATTTAAAAAAAAAAAATGAAGTTCTAGAAAAAAAAAAGAATAAATTTATATATAAATGTAGTAAAAAATAAATATAAATCTGCATTTTTTAAAATTAAAAATTGGATATAGATAAAAGAAAATATTGAAAATTAATTAAGAAATAAAGTATTTTAAATGATACCAAAAAAAGTGTATATTACATTGTAGAAACA